TATAAAATAATTTCTATTTCCTAATAAAGTAATTTCTATTTCATTCAATCATACAATTACGTAACAGATATGAATGAAACCTATTTACTCGTTAGGTATTATATTAAATACATTTCAACCTTTTCGGAGGCGGCGCAAAATTAAATAACATATTCAAAATAATCTTTTAATTTTGCGCAAAATTAAATAACATATTCAAAATAATCTTTTAATTTTGCGCCGCCTCTGAAAAGGTTGAAATGTATTTAATATAATACCTAACGAGTAAATAGGTTTCATTCATATCTGTTACGTAATTGTATGATTGAATGAAATAGAAATTACTTTATTAGGAAATAGAAATTATTTTATACTTTTTAGTGCATTTCGAAGTCGGCGTATTTTTTTTCTAAAAATTATTTTATTACATTTTGTACTGTAACTTTGAGTATATATCTATTAATCTTGACGTATTTTTGCGTTTCTTTCATTAAAACAGAAATATGTCCTCACTTTCCATAAACGTTTAAAATCAAGTGTTCCAATTTCGCTGCGATCTTACAGACAAAACACGAGAAAACAAAAATAGACAACGCTTTTGTAGACCTAATCACTTTATCGAATCAATTTTGTTACGTTCCGAACAAGAATATTTTTCAAAATTTCCTTTGTAACTTCTCACCGATCGGATGGGTATCGATAATGCATATTGCATTCTGGGAACACCCTGATCGAACGCAGTAACGGTCTTTAATGTTATTAGATAGACTATCTTTTGGCGACTAAACTTAGATTGTTCAATCGCACATTCCTTCCTTGAAATCAACGTGGTCCCATGGCCAAATTCTTAGATCGTTTTACTTCTGCGAACCGCCAAACATAAATGAAATTCGCACTCGTGTGGTCCGATAACGCCGAGCATTCTGGAATGTTTCGCAAGGACCCGCGATGCAACATAAAATTGCAATAGAAATTGTCTTCGAAACATTACAATATTATATAAATTGTCCATAGTATTTCATTATACCGTTATTACAAATACTCATACGTCAATCAGTCCTACAATGGTTACGGTACCGAGCGCAATTAATTTTAATAATTGTAAAAACGAAATAGATAATGTTTGATTCTAAATTTGCATAATATATGCAGATTAACATTTTATACTCCGTCGGTTATGTATGTAAAAATTATTCAATAGTTAATTAACAGTCCATAACTCAAGAGTAGAGGAAAGAACTATATAGAAAGAGAGAAAGATAAGAACTGGACAAGGGAGGAACGCACATGCACCTACCACCACCTAATTAACGAATCACGGACTCTTACGCATTGGCCTCGCAGCCTAATTCGTTAGGCGCATCTCAATGCAACGTAAACAATTTCGGACTAGGCCCACTCTGGTCTTCTTCGAGAGGTGCAAGTTGCGACACTCTTCGGTGTATAATCGCGAGGTGCGTGTCGAGGGTCCGTGAAGTGGCTTAGAGACGAGTTTGTTCTTAATCACATTAAATAAGCACGATAAATTTTCAATTCAATTATTATTTTATTTTTTTCCCCCACTCAATTATATTTCGTTTTTATTTTAAAGTATAATTTCATTTTTATAGTTTATTTGAATTTCGCAATAGGTCAGTTTCAAAATTCTCATTGGTGGAGTGCTTAAATATGTGTGTGTTCTTCCTCCAGGAACCGGGCATAGCTGATAAATCACATTTTGTAAGGGAGTTGATTAATTCTAAATTCGTTCAAATACAGACGTTTCGGTGAGTTGTTTCCTTTATTCTTCCAGCTATATTATGAATTTTCCGGCAAGTATATCCAGTAGTTAATTATTTAACTTTGGGATCTCCCTTATTGGATTATCTTTTTAATTTTGTATTCGAGAAATTGCTTGTCCTTCAAACCTTCGAATTGCGCATCTCGGGTATTTACAATATTTTTGTTCTGTTCAAAATTTAACCTTTGTAATTCATATTATATTACACATGCTATCATTTTAATCATTTCATATTTTACAAAATATAATCTTTTATATATTTTAATTATTTGTGAATTACATTTCTTTTATTGCCTCCTTCTTATTCCAAATACTACTACACTTGTTCCGTGTCTCCGTTATTCCATAAACCTTGCGATCTTATGAAAGCGCCCGTATGGGACTAGCGTATCTCCGGATCCACAAAACATTAAGTCCCGTTGACAATTAATTTTGCTAGGGCATACAACTTTGCGGTTTTATACGCGCGCCTCCCGCACGTAACAATTTAAATCTCAATTATTGTATTGATTTCAAATAACTCTATTGTTTATTATTCATTTGGAACGAATTGAAAATAACACACACTGTTTTGGTGTTTATAATATTCAAAAATGTTAAAATTATACAATCCAGATGTGTTATACTCGATGTTGTGAAACAAAATATACTAAATATTTTGAAGTAAGTATTTAAAAATGTAAGCAAATTTAAAAACTTTTCGTACTTACAGTTGATATCTAAAATAATCTCTGACGTCAATGATGGTACTAGATGGGTGTTGTTCGCTTGGCAGGTTAGTTTAGCTCTTAGGAAGTTTCGCGTTACTTTTGGGATGTAAAGATGATTTATAGTGATGCCACCATGTTCTAGTGTATACGTATCGTCCATTATTTCGTCCTGAAAATGCCATGTGACCTTCGGCGGCGGAAAACCTCCGATTACTTCGCATAGTAAGGACAAGTCACTACCCTCATTGAAGGGTTGCTGCATATTGGCCAAAGTTCTACCAGAGTTCTCCCCGGTGTAAATCACCGGCTTGCTTGGCGGCACTGTCACAAGAATGGATTTATGTAGGTTATAGAAGGCATTTTACAAATCTTTTAAAGGAATTTGATCTTAACTATTTCGGCATCAGTAATTTCGTCGAAAAATGTGAGTTACCGATAAAATATTCATAGCAGCCGTAAACATTCTTCTATTATAATAATCATATTCTGTTAAACAAAAATTTAATCGATTGCAGAGTCTAGAAGTATGCATCCTTTTCTCAACATGTTGATTTCCCGGAACAAAATAATTCTATTCTAGCCAAAATTATTATCAATGTTATCAATGTTGTAAAAATTGTGTGTATTATGTAAGGTTTAAAATTTACATGGAGACGTTATTCTTTTGTTAAACTCTTTCCGATGAATTTAAATTTCAAAACAATAACAAGCCAACTCATATTGTGGACATTTTAATCAACTAACTTCCTGAAAGAAACCAACATGTACAACAAAATATAGTACTCAAGCATACAGCTGTCGCCAATGACCACGCAGTCGACGCGACGATAAACACTTATGTAGAAGAAGAAGAAGATTAACAATTAATTCTTTTATTTATAATAATAATAAATTATTTCACTATATTGGAGCAGCTGCTGTAACGATGGTGAAGAGGTGGTAAGTTTTGGAATCATTTTATCACCACTTCAAATCAATATTTTTTTTTTTCAATTTTTACATATTCTTTTCTTTCTTTATACATTATTTTGTGGATATGTTACCGTGAAAGACCGAAATCTGGAGAATGTCGACTTTCACCGGTGAATGTCAACATTCACATAGTTGCTTGGGGTATGTCCGAAATATTTGCTAAATATCCTTATTTCTGACTTACACCGGTAAATGTCGATATTCACTATGCACTAATGGTGAATGTTGAATTTGTCGGAGATTTATATTTTCTTCTCCGTAATTCAGTTGCTATAAAACGTCACAAGGATGACGTAACTTTTTCGCCTTTTTTTCTGGGAGAAGTGACCAAGAATTTAAAACACAGTACATTCTAAGCATACATGTTCTTCCTCTGTGGCCTATTCTGGCGTGAGTTTCATATAGTATACTAAGCAATTCTTTATTGGTAACATAACACTGTATATTCGTTTCCCCTGATTTTAATGATACAATTAATTTCCTTTCATCATTAATTTTTAAAACGTCAAAACGTTTTAATCGTCTGTAGTCCAAAGGTGTGTTGCACTTAGTTTTAGCAGAAACCATTTCAGAAAGTATTTTAGAGTACTTTTCTTGAGAAAAATAAAAACAATTGTATTCTCGTTTACCCGCAATTAATGCATTTAACTTTTCAAGAAAAAGATCACGATTTCATTGCAGTATCCACTCAGTATAAATTACGGTATTGAAAAAAAAATTAAGAAAACGTTGCTCGCATCATCAAAGCTTGCATAAGGTTGACAAAGCTGACCGACTCCCAGCAGAACACAGGATTTGGCGGAAGAGAGTCAATCGCTTCTTTGTCGGCTCCTCTCTTTTGGACCTCCATCAGAGCATATCTGTGATTGTCGACATACACCGGTGGGAGTCCGAATGTACAAGAATGTAATAAAATATTCGATCTTTCACCGACGTATTTGGTATGTGTTGACATTCACCGGTGAAAGTCGACATTCTCCAATTTTGGTCTTTCACGGTAACAGATATATTAACACATATAACTTCTTATATTTTTCACTTGTTAACATTGCTTTTTAGTTTTCTTCTTATTTTTCTTAATTTACTGTAATTGTGTATTTATTATTTATAATGTATATAGTAGTATATATATATTGCTATGAATATGCATGTGAATATATGTAATAAATAACTCATAAAAGAGAAAGGAATATGTGAAAACAATAACAGATTATTAAACGTGAAAAGAGGTCTGAAACGGTAGCAGAGTTAATTGAAGCAGCGAATTTAGTTCCATAACTTATTATTTTTAGAAATAAAAAAAATAAATTTTAAATTAATCTCTAAATAATAAGTATTCACAAAAACGAACAATTATGGATCACCTTATTCACCAACGACTGTCCTTGTTAAAAGGAAGACTATAGTTTTATAAAAGAATTTTATAAAACATATTTACAAATAAGTAAGAGGTAATCGTCCTAATATATGTACTTTTCTAGCAATTTTTATTTTATCAAAGCTGTAATAAAGAATCATTATTTCATAACTACTATATTTTAACTTCCTTCTCTATCTTTTGTATTTATATTGTGCAGTGTAACACGATAAAATATTTTCGTACACTTTCGTAAAGATTGTTAAAGACATGTGAAATCAGAACTTATTTGTAAGAAAGTAAATTATATATTTCAACAACGTTAGTTTTAGGCGAAATATAAAAAATTTGCATCTATATGTTCAGTCATATCTCCTACAGTGTCCCTTCGCTCGGAATCGGAATGGAACAATTCGGTGGTACCAGAATCAAAATTCGAGCCTCGCAGATCGCCTTTGTAGTTTACCGAACACAGAAAAGAACAGGGAATAAAAGACAAAAATGGTGAGTGAGCCGAGGCAACCGAGTTTAAATCTCCGCGTATCGAATGACAATTTTTAAACTTTTTTATTATAAATTTTTTCCAGATGAAAATATTTTTAACATATTAGTGAGTGTGTTCTGATGAAAATGGAACCGAACATAATATAATTTGGAACATATTTACTTATTAATACTAACTGTGAGTCTGTAATTCATTTTATGTTATTAACCATTTTAAAGTACGTAATAAAACAGACTGCTGTAAAAATATGTGAAATACTTGTGCACATTACACGTTCCATGTATAAAATGGTATCTGGACAATGTCAAAAAATGGTCTATGTTTTATAGATGTCAGGGTACTAAACTGCAACCGGTTGATGTGACGATTCAAGATCATATTTGACGGACAATGTCAGGGTACAGGACTACATTTTACAGACAATGAGAATGGTACTAGACTGCGGTTTATGGACCATGCGAGGATACAAGACTACATTTTGCGGACAATGTGGGAATCAGTGTATCTTTTACGGAGAACATGGAAAACTGCGTTAAATTATTTACGTAAAAACATTTATGCAATAAATACTAAATTAGTCAATGTTGCTTAAATTATATCATGTCCAATGTCATTTTAACCGGAAGAACCTAACAAATACGATAGAAAAGTATTTTGCTAAGAAAAGTTAACAAAAATTAAAATATTGTATTCAAGCTTGTAAAGTCGAAAAGTTTCATCGAAAGAGCCACGTGACATATCACATTACATACATCACACGTGCGACTGAGTTCGATTTAGAAAACATAGGTATAGCAAGAATGAACACAAAAGCGTAGGCACATTCGTAGAGAAAATGTGAGGATACCGTCAGTAGGGACAATGTGGGAGATATTACTGTATGTAATTATTAATATCGCTAAAGTATACTATCAGTTAATCACTTGACAATTGCAAAATACACAAGGATTATTTTAAATTCGAAACCTTTCTTTTCACATACATGGAATCGTCTCGTTATTCTACACAAAAGAATATTGGGTACCTTTACATACAAGGAACTTTTCTAGTTTTTGCATACATGGAATCCTTTTGCCGTTCTACGTGAAAAGTATCACGATTCAACGTCAAAGAAATCAACCGTTCGTAAAATGTTTTAAATTTAAAAATCTGGTATTTCATATGTGAGTTTGAAATATCTGATATATCTATTGATTTTTTAACATAGAACTTCAATATTTTTTATCCAGAATGTTCCGTGCAAAAACATATACCGTTTCATTTTTAAAAAGAGTATATATACATTTCGCAATTTTTTATCGAACTGTGTATTTGCTTTTACACGACTTAATTCTACAGAACATTCTGTTAAAGTACAGTATCAAAGAACTAACCAATTAAAAGTTTCAAATTTCTGTATGAAATATCGCATTTTTGCTGATAATACCTCATGTACGGTTTTGAATTATTTTCAGTTGTGTAATAATATCTCATAGTCCTTGATATTATATTGTAATACTTTTCAACGCAAAATTACAGGCAGATTTGTTGTATGGTAAAACAGGACCAACCTTGAATCATTCATCTTCTTTCTATAATATTTTTCCGAATTTCAAACAATAAAATGGTACGATTTATTTTAACTGTGTAAATTTTTTATCTTAAAAATTTCTACTAATTTGTATCCTTACACTAGCAATTAAAGTTAAAATTTGAATGTATTAAGAATGTTTCAATGCACTTTTATCTCGAAGACTTCTAATAAAACCGATACGAGGAAACCTACTTTTCTGTGCAAACATTCCACGTCGAACTCCTTCTCCAATGTAGTTTTAAGAACCTGCACTATCATCTCATTGATAGAATAAATTGACAAAGCTTCGTAAAGGTACTCTAAACGTAAATTTCGATAAATACGACAAAATTATAATAATTCATTATCGCTTATTAACTAAAATATCGGAAATAATTTGTATGAAATGTTGACTAGTGAAATAAACAAACCATTATATGAGCCGCTTACTTTGAAAGTGAACAAATCCATTTTTGTACAAAAAGAAAATAATGATAATAAAATTTAATATTATATTTTTATCTGTGTGCAATCTACAGTGATAAATAATTCACATTCCTTAATATTTGGATGATGAAAGTTTTGGTGATTAACTGTGTTGGAAACACCTACTGTAAAAGTGGTGCAAGCCTACCTTAGGTTGAAACTATTTTTAGCCGACTATTTTACAACACATTTGAATTCCGGTAGATTTTAGTAGTACTGACCGTATTGTGACGAACTACAAATTGTATAATATTGGTGGCATAATCTCGGTATAAGCGAAAATCTGTGGGTCTGCCTAGATATCATTGCTAATTTCTATTTTCAGCTTGCAAGTTAACTTTAGTTCTGTTATTCATAAACACTCAACTAAATCGGCACGGTTTTTCTTTTACTATCAGTGCATAAATCCTCTTAACAATCGCACTGCTATTAAAAAAAAACCACCAGAAGTATGGTTTATTTTATTAAAAAGAAATATGGTTTAGAATGATTTCAACGAAAATTGTAGCTGTGATGCATTTGAAAGTGAAACTAATAGGTAACAATATCAAAATAAAAGTACTTTCGTAAATAAAATGCTGATTTTTAAACAATTCTGTTATTTTTGTTATGTTTATAGAAATAAGATCTATGAAAATTGGTAATGAAAAAAGAATCTTGAAATCAGTATCTGAATATAAAGACAGTTTGGATCAAAATGATTAAAAGAAGTTAAGAAAAAGAATAATTAAAATTTTATTGATTAATCAACGATTACAATAATTCATTCATTTTCGAAATGAGGCAAACCCAAGTGGGTATAATGAAACCTTACATTTTTTTACATATTATCATATAGCAATATGTTTAAATTTACTGAATTGCAAAGCCACAAATATCTGGCAGTCATAAACAATTGACATGCCGAACTTTCAAAATAAACGGCTCAAATGTTAAACTGGACTGAATAGAATGGTAGAAGGTGTAAAGAAAATGAAAATAGGTTAACTTGACATCCATCAATATATTGTCCATTTTCAAAGGAAGCAATTAATCCCGATCAATCATTAAAGGAAATACTCACCTATCACTGTGAGATTAACCTTGTGATTTCTCGTTGGACTATTTTTGTAATCCATCCTGCACCTGTATACCCCCGCATCGGTTGTTTCCAAAGGATTGATTTCCAATTTCACAGATTCCACGTTCGTCCTCATGATCGCTCTTTCGCCGAACATGTATGGATCTGACCAGAACCTCGCTTGGGCTATCGATCTGCCGCGAGCATCCAAGCTGTATATCGGTTCGCCATCCCTCTTGTCTTTGTACCAAAAAACCATGCTCACCACCTCGCTTTTCTTCAATGGATCAATGTTGCAAGGTATTACAGCTTTAAAGCCAACCACAGCCGACACGTTTGACATCGGAACTGCAAAATACGGCAAAAAATACGATTATTGTATAATGTTTGAATGTGTCCATAAAGTGGGATGAAACAGAGATTTCGAAAGTTTATACAGACTGTCCGATTGAAATTGACTACCTCGAAAATCCTTGAAAATATTAAAGATAAAATAAATGTTTTATAAAAGTTACGTGACTTCAAAAAACGAATTATTTGGTGGAAGTATCTGTATGTGGTCTATAAGAAAGATATGAAGATTAAAATTGCTTTTTTAAGATAGAATTATATATTCTTTAATGCAGCATTCGATCATTATTTTCTGTATGAAAGTATTAGGTCACCCACTAGCCACTTAAGTAATCGATCGTATCAGAAATACCTAGTTTTGTGAATTCCGGAGTATCGAGGGAACTAGAGTCTTCAGTCACTCCATTATGTACATAATTAAATTCTATGAACGTTAAGTTATGAAACTTTTAATACGCTAACTGTCTGCAAAGTGTAAAATTGATATAATAATTATCAGTTGAAATGGATCGGGACTTTGTAATGAAAATTTGATGTTTATATGTAATTGGATAAATGTGGCAGCATAAGCTATAAAGTCTTTTGCGATGTGTAAGGTGAAGAATCTAATACCTAGACATGTCCCAGTGGTTTGACATTTGCGCAAATGATACTTATTATTATATCTAATATTTACTTTATCCACAAACAAAATTATTTTATTATTTTATTAAAATATTTTATAAGGTATAGTCATATACTTTTGCAAACGGCTTTTATGTCATTCGCTAAGAAATCTCAACTCTTTCCTAAACGACTCTCATTAATAGTATTTAGTATCTTTCGTTTATTATATTTTGTATAGTATATTTTTTATTTAGTATATTTTGCATTATTAATAGTATTTAGTATTTTTATATATTTAATGAATAAATAATACATTGTTGAATGTAAAAATGAAATTAAAGCCTATTTTAAAAATAATATAAAATTTTCAATTTGTTTTTAAAATCAAATTCTTTTATTTTCTTATTCAGGTATCCATGTATTAGAACATTGAAACGTCTCAAAACTAGATCATCTTTGTAGTAAACGTAAAATTAATTAAAACTCTCATAAAATTAATTAAATAACATCAACACAATTATTATATTGTATTATTTATTCTTCATTATTTCATCTTGTTTTAATAACGATTGTCTTCATGAGTAAAATTTATGTTATGACGTGCACATATTTAAAATAACAGAGTATTTCTACATAATTTCGTGTATTTATGTTCATAAACTATTTGAAAACACGAAATACGTCAAGAGCAATACAGAAAGAAAAATAGTTGAAAAGAAACTCAATTAAAAATAAGCCGGAGAAAACGAATTGAAGAAGGCTGTGTTATAAATAAAAAAAAATTAAAATCTAAAAAAATGATTGGAAAGCCCATTGGAAAAAAAACATTAATATAACATAATCGTATTTTTTTGGTTAAAATGTAACGATAAATTGATTATATTTCAAATTTCGAATTATACGATCAGACAGTTAGTTGCAAATGTAACTTGTATGACGCAAGTTTATAAAACTACTTAAATATAAATTCGAATCGTCGCGTCTGCTGTTTATGAACTGAAAATCGAATCAGAAATGTGTAAATATCGTTGAGTAATTAGTTGTAAATCGCATAGAACATCTATTACCTAAATTTATAAATCAAGCAAAGGCCAATTAATTGAAAATTCACGTCGCTGCGTTACCATCCTATGATTGGACGATTAACACTTTGCCATATGACCTATTTGTTAGGTGCGTCAGTATACACGTATTACATATATCGTTTAACAATAGCGCATGATGATTATTTGCAGACTTCCAAAGGTTATTCTGTTCTTTGTCACTTGAGATATGAAACGTATTGAAAAAAAGAAACTAGGAACAGAGAAGTAAAAAACGACAGAAAAATCGAGGGTTTGTTATTGAGTAAAGGTTATCCACTTTACGAACGAAATCATTGCGGCAATTATTAAATAACGCTTAAGTTTATTGTATTCGATACATTTTAAATCAAAGAAAGAAAGTCGAAATATTACGTCCATTTTATATTCAACGATCTTTGACTATGCAAATTATAATTGGACTTAAACTTCAAATTGAAGCGTGTTAAAAATTCAGGAACTCTGAAAGCTGACTGAGGTGCAGGAGGAGGAGACAACAGCGATAACTCCTCTCGATCGCACAATAAATACTGCATCTAGGCATTCACTTTAACGATGAACTACAGAACGAGTTCGAATTAGAAGCAGCCAATTACTGTCGGAAATAACAATTTCGCGTTTAGGAAGCAATATGGGCGGACACTGATGGAGCAGCAGTTAAAATTTATTTACCATAATCTCCAAGATAACTACCGAAGGTACATCCGTCGCATCGATTCCTCCACTGTGACTGAATTTATATTTTTTGATAATAATAACCTAACGCGTGGACCAGTTTTCGATCGATCTATCCTTACTACTTTTAGCGATCACGCAAGTGTTCGTAACACTGTTAATACTGATTTCCGAAAAATTAATGAGATGGCCTAAAATTATAGTGTAGCAGTTTGTAAATTGAAGAAACGTATAAGCGATTAAGTGAGTAATCAATCCTCGCAAAGTTTTCTTACACTCACCCTCCGCGAAGAACGAAATTATTTTTTCCGAAGATAACTGTATAACGTTTACGTTGCATGCCAGCAAATAAAATCTCGTCCCAACTCTACGATCTCGGAAGAATCATATGGATCGCATAGTGCTGTACTTGTGGCGTATCATCGTTCCGTAGCACCGTTTCATATCGTCCTTGACGATTTTATTCACAACGGTAATTGAAAATAAAATGTAACAGAGAAAAGACACAAGTGGACATGCAGCTTAAGAGATACATACAATTGGAATACTTGTTCACGATACGGGCATGAAGGGCACCAGCAGATGGACTGTCAATGGTTCGTTACACTATTCTGCTCATACTGTGGAATTGTCAGACAAGGGTCCCAAGATTAACCAGAGGTACCGAGCAAACACTAGCCAGCGTAACTGATAGAGGAATCTTTGTGCCCTTGAAAGTATAGTAAAGTCACCTCACGTGATCGCTGTTCGGATCTGGATGTAATCAGTTATCGTGAACGGTAAATAATTTCGAGCAACAAACTGTCAATGAAAATAAAGAAATATACTGTATTGATTATAATTCATGTAGTCGCAATTCAGGATTGCGTATTTATAGGCTGCGTTCTGTTACACATGAATATGATCGAGGATGCTACTTCTAGGAACTAATGCGACTCCGCTATACATGGATGTCAGTATCTTGCATTGGTTGGCTTTGGACTGCCCAATCGTATTTCAATCAAGAAGTCGGCTGATGTCAACATCAGGGATGCAAGATACCCTATTCAAGGTTTTAGTCGGAGTGGTCCAATTCCTCTTCAAAGAGAAATTTAACTCTCTTAGTACTAAATAGCGATATATCGTCACATATGCAATGGCGATTTACTGTCTGTTTTAATATTAGTAATTTTATTACAAATAATTGAAAATGTGGTAATAATACTTATTATTTGCAAATACTGTTTATGAAAGAAAACTAATTTTTTCATTTGTTTCTTCTCTAGATTGATACTAAAAAGGTTAAAATCACTGCGTGAGTCGATGGATGCAAATTCACACTTAGGTACATTGGCCCTTACTCAAGATGTCATCTTAGACATCGATGTCCTAGGGGCCTGTAGAACCATCATTATGATTAGACACCATGTGGGGCTTTGTAAGTAACTAGTTCCGCAGAACCAGCCGAAATCAATAATTGAATAGTCGAAGAATTGCTGAAATTTCTGTATATGTGTAGAACCACTTACTTTGCGAAACATTAGATCAGGATGTACCTAGCTGGCGAATTGATTAAGCAGCGATACACTCCTCGAAATTCTAGTTATAGGTTGTAAATATCGCTGTGTAGTTCATAAGGTACACATCGCGAACGCGTAAATACCGTTAGGTACTTAATTGTGCACCCTGCAGATTCCAAGTCATAAGTTAAGATTTGTATGAGATATAAACTAGTGACTTAATATATAACGTGGTAAACTCAGCATAATTACGTGTACTATTTTCCTTGTATGTACTTAAGTCGATCGACCGAGTAGCCTTCCTCCATGTCCACTTAACCCGGCACGATTACAAAATTTTAACTACTTCTTTACGCGTTATTTTTCAAATATATGAACGTATTTTTTTTAAAATCTAATTTCACGCATCGTACATTACTACACAGCGAAGGCCAATAGCTTGAGCAATACCGACTAGGTGCTTTTTCTGTTGTTCAATTCCTATTCTTTTTCTTTGACATCAGTTAGATTAGGGAGATATATCGAAGGAGTCAAAACAATGTATATGTATATACCAAACAGTTAGGGTGTTATAACTCAATAAAAGGCAGCCATCAAGATGTGACAAGGGTCCTTTCAGTATAGCTCAGTAGCTTACGAAAAAATGGTTTGTGAATCATAATTTAGCTATTCATCACTAGCTTAGGACATCGACTTAAGCGTTACAACCCAAACTCATAGAGGTAGCGGTGTATCATTTAAGGTGCTATAGCAAGGCAAGTTATGGGTATGAGATGGTTAACAGTTTTTCTTCATTTATTTTAGCATCTTAAATAATATTATACGTTGCTCTGAATTGCTTAAATTGTACTGTAAGATACTTTTTCGAGATGAAACCTTAATATCTGTTTTTGACATAAGCAATTCATAAGAATTGTTCAAGTTTTACTGTGGAAGAGTTTCAATTATTTGAACTATTAGTAGGAACTGCATTTAATTATGGTACAAATAATGAAGCGAGGTTAAATATTTATTAATAAGTTTCCCTGTCAACAATCCCAAACTCCACGTTGTACAATAAGATATAATTTCAAGGATTTTATGGATACTATAATTTATTTAAATTAATTAATTTCTTTAATAATGTTATAATATG